CGCTGCTGAACACGACTCCAAGCAATCGTCCAACCCTGAAACAAACTCTGCAGCATCCATGGTTCGCCATGACAGACTAAACTTCTATCATCACTTGTTATACACATCAGTTATTTAGCCAATGAACTGAGTTGAAAGATAATCAATATTATATTAATTACACGGCTGACACGTCGGCTTCTGAGCCATTAAAAATTCCTAGGGCAATTTAGATTTTTGCACACTAAAGTCAGACCATATATAACAGCTATGAATAGAGATTACTCTAATAAAATGGTCGCTAAGTTATTACAAACTATTATACAATAACTGCAAATTATGAAACTGACCTATTATTGATCTAATAAACCGTTTATTTGATCAATAATAGATAACTTTCATGAATTCGCCAAATTTGTTCGATTACAGACTAATTCATTGGATTTACTGAGCAAGTTTGGTTAAATGAAAGTATACAAGAATAAAAGTGAATAGATCGTTCTTTTTTATTGTTAGAGAATCCTTTATTTCCAAGGAGGTTTTCAGAAAGTCAGGCACAAAGACGTGCACATCTGCACAGTGTATATAGAGTAACAGAAGCATATATGCTTCTGAGAGTAATTATAAAACCTAGTATATTTTAAATGTGAATAGTTTGTGAATAAAATATTTAAGTTTGAAAGAGTGTTTTAATTTTTCTTGATTTCTATGCGCTGTTGTACTACGGATCAGATTCTGCGTACATCAAATGTGTTATCAGAGGAGATGAGACATACAAAACCGTGCTTTAACGTTTCGTGTGCGATAAATCGTTGTATAAAGCGTCAATATACAAAAGCAAATCCAGGCATTAGATTGCCGGAAGACTCTCCGGTTATTAAAGAACACTTGAAAAATTTAAGAACGCGCTCAAGCAGGCGTTTCCTAAAAGAAACACTTCTTGTGTTCTCTAATTCCCGTTGAGTTTACATTCTAATGACTGGCTTTTTTGCTACCCGTAGTAAACGAATCACCAACCTTGCCCACGAGTAAAGAATGAGGCAAGGTTTAGGGGCTGCCAGTTCACTGTCAGAATTGCCACATGTCAGAAAATGGACCATGGACTGTTATCATCAAAAGACCCGGCTCTGTGAAAACCTGTTCTATATAAAGTAATTATATATTAGAAGACTCCTTTAAGACTGTGCCCAAAAAGTAAAGCGTTCTCAAGTTTGTTGACTGCAGTATGTAAGTCCATTGGATTCATCTCAATGCGATCCGCCAAAATTGTCAGCAACGTTTCATACGAGCTGTGAAATGAGTTCTGATCGGCACAATTCGCCGAGTACTTGATGTACCTCAAATCATTGTCCTTTCGGAGAGGATCTCCAAAGATCTTCTCTGTTTGAATTCCGCGAGAGTGTGTTCTGTCGAAACAGGGCGCTGGTCCATTATCAGCGTCAGCCACGTGCTCGCACGTGGCTGGGAAGCTTGTGACTTTGGGCGTGGCCGTGTTATTGAACTCCTCCTCTCGTTCACTGGTCATAAGACTCTTAAAGAGTTGCGCGTATTTTTCCTGGCTTTCCTCGTTTGTAATACGGTTTGCACGTAAGTTTTTATGCTGGCTTCCAGTGTAAACCCGGTCAGCGGGTTCCCACGAGCCAAAGATGTCCGATTTACAAAAGGCAGAATAAGCCGTGGGATCTTGAACAAGTCTAAACTGCTCGTCTGTCCAAGGCACGCCATTTTCGAACTTCTTAGCCTCGCAATGCTTCCAGCTTTTCAGCCAATCAGTGAACAGAGGAATGGTGTCATGAGAGGTGCTGTTGGGACCTGATTCTGTGGGGGTGGCTAATTTTTCTTGCTCCCTACGGGTTAGGATTTACAAAGTAAGAGCAAGATCACAATTCGGCGCGTTTCTCACACTTACAGCCAAATTAAAGAAAATAAAAAGGAAAATGGCACGAGAACTCGCGAGTTTTGGAATGTTGTCACGTTAACATGATGTTGCAAGGGTGCACGTACCTCTTGTTGCTTAGTAACTAGCGTAATGAAAACCGTTCGCAGTAATCTGATTTGTCAGCGTCGCCGAAACTTGAAGCAATGTGTTAGGGCAAAATTACCCTTGTTATACCCTTGTATGAGCCTCAAATAAAAAAAAGAGTGCTGAACTATTGAAAAATGATTCTATTATTCGCCTTCCTTAATACGTTCTTCGAATAAACGTTGCAAAAAAATCTAAGTTGACAATAATATAGTAACAGAGCCAAAAGAAAAACCCACTTTAATTAAAAAACGGTCCAAAAATCGTAACATCGAAGATTCAAAACCGATCAAACTAGTTTAAACCGAAACTGGTCTAACTGGAATATGACAAATCTGGTTAAAANATCTTGAACAAGTCTAAACTGCTCGTCTGTCCAAGGCACGCCATTTTCGAACTTCTTAGCCTCGCAATGCTTCCAGCTTTTCAGCCAATCAGTGAACAGAGGAATGGTGTCATGAGAGGTCCTAGTGGGACCTGATTCTGTGGGCGTGGCCAATTTTTCTTGCTCCCTACGGGTTAGGATTTACAAAGTAAGAGCAAGATCACAATTCGGCGCGTTTCTCATTTACAACCAAATCAAAGAAAGTAAAAAGGAAAATGGCGCGAGAACTCGCAAGTTTTGGAATGTTGTCTTAAGGGTGATGTTTTAAGGGTGCACGTACCTCTTGTTGCTTAGTGACTAGCGCAATGAAAACCGTTCGCCGTAATCTGATTTGTCAGCGTCGCCGAAACTTGAAGCAATGTGTTAGGGTAAAATTACCCTTGTTACCCTTGTACAAGCCTCAAATAAAAAAAAAGTGCTAAACTATTGAAAAATGGTTCTGTTATTCGCCTTCCTTAATACGTCCTTCGGATAAACGTTGCAAAAAAAATCCAAAAGAAAAACCCACTTTAATTCAAAAACGGTCCAAAAATCGTAACATCGGAGATTCAAAACCGATCAAACTAGTTTAAACCGAAACTGGTCTAACTGGAATATGACAAATCTGGTTAAAATCTGGTCAAACCGGTAAACCTAAACGAAGTCTAAAGTACTGCTTATCCGAAACTGGCGGACGGTTTGGTCGACAACTAACAGTTCTCTGAATTCCAATCAGATCTGAGCACAGAAATCAGTTAAGCTTGATTTCAATTTCTTTCCATTAAATGTCCTAGTTGATTGTTGAGTTTAGAGGCTGGTTTTCACTAGCGTATAAGGACAAGCATAAGCCGACATACACAGACACAATAAGATTAGCACCTTTTGTTGGGAAAAGTTCCTCACAAAATGTGCTACTTAGCAGCACTACAAATAGTTCTTAAGAAAATCCATCAAATATTTTCGCCTGCGCGCGATTGGTCTAAACGTGTCACGTGACTGAATATCCCCAAGCTAAAACTGGGGAGTGATATTCCCCAATTTTCAAAACTGCGCGTGTTGTGAAAAATATTTGAAGGATAATAAACGTTAGTGAATAGACTCCACTTGGCGCGAAAATAGCCTTGGATATTTGCCCTTGGACATTATCTGTTCCTCGAAGCTCACAGTTTTCCTCGAGCTACGCTCGCGGAAAACTGTTCGTTACTCGGAACAGGTAATGTCCGCGGACAAATATCCGAGAATAATTTCGCGCCAAATGGAGGCTATTGTTTATATATGCTTGTGTTTATACGCTAGTAAAAACCAGCCTTAAGTTGTTACCTTTCGGTTCTATCGTCAAGTCCATAGTAGAGTTTTAAAGCAACCACAATGAAGGCCATGGCGCCAGCTTCAAAGTTAGGAATGGAAGACCACGACCGCTTGTCTGAAGTTGGATGGATTATCATGTGGATTTTAACCTTCTCTGTCAGTTTACGAACAACACCATGCAGAAAACCTGTTATTAAAAAGACAAAAGAAAAACATCAGCAATTGTTCAATATTCTGGTTGCTCGAGGTTGTTTCTCGCCCATTCCTCTGACGGCAAGGGGGTNATAGAAAAATGCGAAAAGGTGGAGAGAAAAACAAAACATGGGAGACAATCCAAATTTTGGGCTATGCAAACCCACGACTATAAGTGACTACTGGTGAATGTGTACAGGAATACGACAAAGTCTTAGCACTGAAAAGCCAGCTAGTTAATCTGATTCCAAGAACTGGAAACAAAACAAACTTTCATCTTTATCCGACCTATAATATAAATACTAACCTTAGGGGACACAAGCAACTGAAATCTCCACTTCCAAACTTCATGTGTTGAGGAATATGTCTGGTTGCCTGGAAGTATGGAAGCTGACCCTGTTTTGCCCACCTGGAATAAAAATACCCACATACTCACTGAGTGTGTTTGGATGGGCTGTACAAAGTGTTACAAATTACAGTGCATTGGTGCATTGGAAGGCAACATTCAAGCCTGTGTTGTATTCCTGGAAAACACTTTGCCAGTACTCAATGAGTAGAGTATTGCCAAGGGTTGGTTTTCACTAGCAATAGAGTCAAAGTCAGAGATGGAGTCATAATCAGAAGTACAGAGCGATACGATCTAGTCATATATACACGTAAAACACTTGAGACTGTGTTTTACCACATGTCCAAACACCAAGAAGAGAGTTGATTCTTGATAAACTTTGAGGTGTTTGGAAATGCGGTCAAACACTCGTTTGCAAGTAGAAATTAGATTGCTGGAGTCACAAGGAGACATCAAAGAGTAAACCAATAACAATGCTCGATTTCAGGCACCATGATTGGTTGGTATAACTGCCTTTTGTAAGACAACACCCTCTGGAACTGTAATTGTATCATTCTGTTGTTTTACAAAGTCAATATCAATATACAAGGTGTTACAGGGCTCAAAAAAAGTGAGGTGCGGTCATCTGGGACAAGTAGATTCTCCTTCAGGGCAAGTACCTTTTCATTCTCACTTGCCTGATGGGCAAGGGATCAGACAAGTCATCTGCCACCTAATCATTAGAAGAGCAATTTAAGTGTTACCCAGGACAAGCAATACTTGAGAGATACAGTGCTTGTCCTAAGGGCAAACTGGAATTCAAGTTGTTACCTACAATACCTGCAGCAAAGTTTGTCCTACATGTACAAACTACTGCGCTTGCACACCTACCTCAACAGGTCACTGACAAAAACTGGTTCATTTATCCAAAGTAAGCCAAGATAACAGAATGCCAGTGTGGTCTGAAGAGTTACGTGACCACTCTCAACCTTCGTTCCCTTGGGTTGATTTAATGTCAGTGAACCGACAAATTCATCTTCACTGC